TAAATGAGAAACTATTTTGTTCTGTAAGCCTTCATCTTAAGTGAGAATAACAGCACAATTGGAAGAGCGTAGTCAATTTCACTGAACTGTGCATGCAGACATTTTTGAAATGGTGTATCTGTGGCTATGTGTATTTTCACCAAAAAAATGGTTGAGAAGTTAGAGGGTTGACATATTGTGGGGTTGTTAACCAATGTCATAAAAGAATATGTGTACTAATGTTTCATGAGAAACTACTTGTTCTGTAAGCCTTCACCTGAAGCACAATAAAAAAAAAGAAAAAGTAGGAGTTTGTGGTCAGACAAGAGGTTGTAATTTGGTTCTTCTGCTTAGAATGGTCACCTCCTCGCCCTGTGATTTTAGGTAATATCTATTTACCCTTCAGGTCTGTGCTTGGCGTCACTTTTTCCAAGAACTCTTTCCTGAGCCCTGAAACCTGGGTGAGACACCCATGGTGTGCTTCCTCTTTCACAGCATGGATCACACCTACTATAATTAAATGTGTAACAGCCTGTCTTCTCTACACTGTGAGCACTGAGATAGCAGGGATCATGCCTGCCTGGTTGGTAACTGTGTATAAGATAGACTGGAGTTGGAGATCCTTAAGGAGGGAAAACATTTGAGTTATTTTGTTCTTGGGACATAACAGTAATAAAAGTAATAAATGAAGTGAACTACCCTAGCTTCCACAGCTAGCAAGTGAAAGAGCCACAGTTCAAACCCAGGTAGTCCCAACTCCAGATATACAGAACTCTTCCACTGTACCTCACTGACTTCTTTCCCACTGTCAACAACTTGCTCATGCAATCATTCCTCCACACCTGAATAACCTAAATGGTTTCCCCACTGTCAGGATCTCTAACTCCAATCCATTCTATATACTATTGCCAATAAGACCTGGGAGGAGGCACAGAATTTCTTTTAAAAAAAACAAAATGAAACAAACAAACAAAAAAACCTTCAAATTTTTCACCCTGCCATCACAGCACATCACAATTTGGTCCCAAATCTACCCCTCACTACTACTTTATCCTACTCTATACTTTAAGCAAACTTGACTATTTGACCTCCAAAAACATCCATCCTGGGCTTTCTGATCTGTGTTTTCCCAGGTCCTCACCATCACACCTGAGTGTGTCACAATCTCATCCAATCATTAAGACCCATATCAAATTACGTCCTCACTGACGCATTTATGTTCTCCCCACTGGGATCTCTCCTCCTCTTGAAAGCCCTCAACCAGTGTGTACTACTGATAGTACGCACGCAACCACACATGAGCCATTCTTTTTACTTTTCCAGGCTCATTCATTCAACTGTGAGATCCTTGGGAAAGGCAAAAGCCTCTGGATGAGTGTCCAGAACAGTGTCATGCAAAGAGCAATTACTCAATAAATGTTACCAGAAATCTCAGGCTCACAGGCCTACACACCAGTGTTCCCCCGAAATCAAACAAAAAGCTCACTATTTCTGTTTGCAGAAGTCCCAAATATCTCCATTTACTTCAAGGGGAGGACCAATTTCACAAATTTAAGTTTAATCCATTATAACATTCGAAACTCCCTTACCCGTGAAACAGCACTGCTAGGATGCGGGGACAGGGAGGTGGTCCCCTGACCAAAGATCTTACGTCAAAATTCAAGAAAAGCCACGGTGACTGAAAAACAAAACATTCTCTTCACCGTTTAAGGCAGGTCTTGTAACAGCCTCGGAGAACTGGGATATGGGCTACACCAAAACGCCACACGGGCGTTATCAAGAGATTCATTTGGCACAGTTTCTACTCAGGGTCTGACGTAAGCCTGCCACCTACCTTCCTCCCCAGCAGCCCCAGCTGCAGGGGTCGTATCCGTGGTCGCTCTTGGGCCTGCTGCCATGGCTAATACGAGGCGGGCTCGCGGGAACCCAAGAGTGGAGCGGAGTGGAGTGGAAATGGGGACCCACCCAATAACAAAACTTTGAGTCTGAGGCGGCCGAACGGGAAGAACCCCCAAGCTGTTACCACGCTCCCCCGGAAGCGCCCGTGCGCGTGGAGTCACGTGACAGCCGCTAGGCGGGACCAAGGGAGTTTGTTTTGCTACGTTGGTTGGAAACACATGGTCTTTTTTGTGCGCTTTCCTCCCATCCCGAGACCTTAGCCTTTTTTCAGTGTTATCTCTTGGATTCGTTTCTGCTTCTCCTCCTAGAAAGCCAGATCCTTCCTTTCCACCTTGGCGCTATTCTCCACCGAACAGTATTCGGGTTTTAGGGGTGGTTTGCTTTTTTGAGGGACTCAGTGCAGTGGAAGGTGTCTCTGCGTTTGGTTGCACTGCAGCAGCTTTTACCAACCTTGGATACAATGACAGCTTACGCTTCTCAAGCTTCTCTTCTACCTTTCTTGTCGTTCTGGCAGCAGTGTGACTCTGGTCTCCTTGGCTGCCCGGCAACACAAACCTCAGGCAAAGTGTCCTTTAATCGCATCCCCCATGACTCATTTCCAGACCCACCCAAGCTAAATTTCTTGACCAAGGTTTTCAAGGACACTAACCGGCAGCTGTCAGGCTCTGGATTTGCATATCAAAATAGAGAAACGGCTGCTCGATCAGGAAATCTACGACCCTCACCTTTCCCCTTGTTTCCTTTTCATCTGGTCAAAATCGTAACTGGAGATAGATCTAGGTTACCTTTGAGCAGAAATCTTCCAGTCTTAATCACATCTTTATTGCTCGCCTATTAAGTGACAGGCAAAATGCGTAGAAAGATTGTGTGTGTGTGTGTGTGTGTGTGTGTGTGTGTGTTTGTGTGTATTCCCAATGAGACTGTAAGGTCGTATATATATATGCATATACGTATATATACATACAAACATACAGCCTTACAATTTCATTGGGTATATAAGATACAAAAAGATACCTGATAAAACTAGACAGAACTTACTGTACATTTTAAAAGTGTATATTTTCCTGAAACAATCTCCTAGGTTCTCACTACACTTCCGTCTTATCCTATCTCCTCCTATAATTTCTGAAGTTATAAACCCAACAAAAATAAGAATGAACTCCATAGAGAAGCACGCATTAGGCTAAATGACCAGAAGTCACCGAGTTATTAGACACACGATGTACACTTGGGGACTTCCTCCAGGCCAACCTGGAGTTCATGGCTCAGTCTTCCCTAGCACAGTCTCTCTGGGAGTTGCTCTTTCCTCGGGCTCAGTCGCTCTACTCCCTGCCTTTCCAATACCTCCGCTTGAGACCCCGGCTCCCCTCCTCCTCTCTCCTCTGTTTCCTCTCCAGCATCCCGCTGCCCGCAGGCAGCTGGCGGGCACCCCAGCCTCCTCTCCGCCCGCCCCGCCTCCCAGCCTCCAGCCGGCTCAGGCCGCGCAGGCGCACCAGGCTGACGGCCGCGAGGCCGAGGGCGACTGAAGCCGACTCTGTCTCTACTTCCAGCAGAAGCTCCTCCGCGGGGCTGGTTGGCGGCGACCTGGACCGCGCCGGGCAGAGGCCCCGCGGGCCGCGCGTCGCCATGGGCTCGAGCTGGAGCAGCGAGGAGGAGCGACAGCCGCTGCTGGGGCCCGGACTCGGGCCTAGGCCAGGGGCTGCCAGGAGAAACCGGGAGGCGGCGGTGGTCGCGGTGCTGCCAGCGGCGGCCCCGGGCCCCGGACGGGTGTACGGGCGCCGCTGGCTGGTGCTGCTGCTCTTCTCGCTGCTGGCGTTCGCGCAGGGCCTGGTCTGGAATACCTGGGGCCCCATCCAGAACTCGGCGCGTCAGGCCTATGGCTTCTCCAGCTGGGACATCGCGCTGCTGGTGCTGTGGGGGCCCATCGGTTTCCTACCCTGCTTCGCGTTCATGTGGCTCTTGGACAAGAGAGGTAAAGGGTCGCAGGAGCGCCGGCCGGCGCTGTCACTCCTGGAGGAGCCCGGAGCCCACCCAGTCTCCAGGCCCGCGAGCCGCTTCCCTCCCTCTGGTCTTTAGGGGTTGTGTGAGGTGACGGAGTGCCGCTGGCGTCACATTTCTGCCAGGAGCCCTCCGTCCCTAAAGCGACAAATACGGGAAGTTTCTTTGCAAATGTGTATGTTTTTATCAAGGCTGTCCATTATGCAACATCAGAGATTAAGCGATCTCTAAATGCTCAAGTTTTTGCATAGTATGGACATCAGAGCATCCCCATGCACGTGTTACGTATATTTGTTGCCCCTGACAGACAGAAATGACTGATGCTTTAACTTCAAAGGGATTTGGGAATGTTGAGGGTGAAAGGTCATAAAATAGGCTGATGATGCCTGAATGTAAGGAAATGAGTTGGCTTTGCATAATAGATGACTCCAGCCCAGGAAAAGCTATTGGGAAACTGACATCTGACGCTTTGGTTTTGAGGAATATGGTGCACGGCAGCTTTAAAGCTGTGTAGGTGACTTGGTTTTCTCAGCTGAGATTTATGACTCTCAGATAAAGCTCGCAGATGAATGAAGACTCTCATAGAGGGATGCTCTGGACAGACTTTACAAACACTTGCTAGCGCGATTCTGTCAGGAAAAAACGTCATAGGACTGAGTCATAAGTCATTGATTTGCAAAAGTAAAGCCACCACAGTACAACAAACCGACAGACAGGTGGTGGTGATGATAAATACAAGTGGTAAAACTGGATATCCTTGCCTTTTTCCCAATCTTAGGAGAAAAGCACTCAGTCTTTCGCCATTGAGCATGACTTTAGCTGTAGATTTTTGTTGATGCCTTTGGTCAGGTTAAAGAAATTCCTTTCTATTCTTTTTGCTGAGAGTTTTTATTACGAACAGATACTAAATTTTGTCAAATGTCTTTCCAGCACCTATGGAGACAATCATGTGGTTTTACTTTTTTAGTGGTTTTTAATTGTTGAACTAGCCTTGCATTCCTTGGATAATGCCCCCTTTGTTATAATGTATTTATCCTTTTTTATGCATGTCTGAATTTGATTTGCTAATATTTTTACACCATGTAAGTATCAGAGAATTATTGGTAGTGATAGCCTGCCTTCAAGAAGCTGTTGTGGAAGATTTTAAATTTGTTGGTTGGATAATGGTTGGGAACTACTTTCTTTATTTTTCTGTTGGCCCAACCTTTCATAAGTTTTGTTGAAATGAGTTTTTTAGTCAGATTCAGAAACTGTAGATAGGTACAGAACTGCAGTTATCTGACACACAAAAACAAAAAACCACTCACAGCGACCCTATAAGACAGAGTAGAACTGTCTCAGAGGATTTCCAAGGCTATAAATCTCTACAGAAGCAGACTGCCAGCTTTAGGTTTGCAGGGGAGCACTTAACTACTGGGCTCCATGGCTCCTTGTCTGACACATTGCACTCAGATGAGAGAGTAGAATAGTAGAGACCTGTTAGTAGCTGGACTCTCTTCTCTCTCCACAAGTCTTTCTTAGTAATCCATATGGAAAAGACTGAGGAATTGTTGATGGTGAGTTCATTAATGAACAACATAAAGGGAGGAGAGTTTTAGGGATAGAACCATAGTATCCAAAACAAAAAGAGGAAGAGTTTGATATGTTCTACATTGGTGTTCATTTCTGATTATTAATTTTAAGAAGGCCATTGACAAACTGGAGTACTTTAAAAGTTGTGTGACAAGAATGTTAAAGGGTATAAAAATCATGATGTGTAAGGTGAAGGAAAACGGATGTGTCTAGCTTCATATAGAAACTTGAGACAGAATGTAAAATATGTGGAGACCAAGCAAAAGAGGAATTAGACTTAATGTGTGTAGTTCTAGAAGGAAGAACTAAACTGAGTGAAGTTGCAAACCGATGTAACTCAAAGCAATACAAGGAAGAACCCTCTAACAATTAAATGTATCCAGCCCTGGAAAGATATGTCTTGACAGGCATAGAACTTCCAGGTAAAGCAAGTACTTATGCAGAGAATGTGTGCTAGATAAGCACAGTTCTACTCTGACACACCTGGGGTTGCCATGAGCTGGGTCAATGCAATGGCAGGTGGTGGTGGTGGTGGTGTGCTAGATGCTGAAGAAGGGCTTCTTGGACTGAGTAGAGGTTTTGTTTGCATGGTTTTTGTTTGTTTGTTTGTTTGCTTTTAAACTAAATTATAGACTTTACTGTCTTACCCTTTACGAAAGTTCTAAGATGCTCCACTGGTCTCACCCCGTTGGGAGCAAGGGGAAATGAAGAAAATCAAAGACACTAGGGAAAGATTAGTCCAAAGGATAAATGGACCACAACTACCACAGCCTCCACCAGACTGAGTCCAGCACAACTAGATGGTGCCCAGCTACCACCACTGACTGCTCTGACAGGGATCACAATAGAGGGTCCCAGACAGAGCTGGAGAAAAATGTAGAACAAAATTCTAACTCGCAAAAAAAGACCAGACTTACTGGTCTGACAGAGACTGGAGAAACCCCAAGAATATGGCCCCCAGACACCGTTATAGCTCAGTAATAAAGTCATTCCTGAGGTTTACCCTGCAGCCAAAGATTAGACAGGCCCATAAAACAAAACGAGACTAAAGGGGCACACCGGCCCAGGGGCAAGGACGAGAAGGCAGGAGGGGACAGGAAAGGTGGTAATAGGGAACCCAAGGTTGAGAAGGGAGAGTGTTGATATGTTGTGGGGTTGGTAGCCAATGTCACAAAACAATATGTGTACTAATTGTTTAATGAGAAGCTAGTTTGTTCTGTAACCCTTCATCTAAAGTACAATAATAAAAATAAATAAATTATAGATTTTATTCAGATTTTACTAGTTTTTCCATTAATGTCTGTGTTCTGCTTTAGGATTCAGTCTAGGATCCCACATTGTATTTAGTTGTTATTTCTCCTTTAGTCTCCTCAATCTGTGATAGTTCATAGTCATTCTTTACAAGATTGGCTAAATATAGGGGAAGATGCTACTTTGTAGTTTCTTTTTACTTACCTTTTTAGCAGGAGCAGTTTTCAATATAGTTGCCTAAGTTTAGCCAACCTTGTTTTTATGGTAGAAAAAATGTTCATTTTCTACCCTTTAATTATATTTGTGTCTACTATACATCACCAGATAAATTGGAGATTAGATACTATAGGAGTTCTTTAATAGTCCTGGTAAGAGCTTGGCTACTAACCAAGAGGTCGGCAGTTCAAATCCACCAACCACTCCTTGGGAAACCCTATGGGGTAGTTCTTCTCTGTCCTATAGGGTCACTATGAGTTGGAATCAACTCGATGGCAATGGATTTGGTTTATGGGTTTGTCACTCTGTGTTGAATTCAATTATATATTCTCTGTTGGCTGAAGCAATAAAAAATGAATTTAAAAATCCTCTCTTTTAAGAAGTAATTTTCCTTTTTACCAGAGGGCCCATTGCGTTGAAGGAGGAAGGTAATACAATGTCCTATGTTGGCCCTCCTCCTATCTACACACACAGAAAGCAAGCTCTCAACATCCCTGGGTGTGTCTTGCTTCCTGAAGTATAGGTGGTTGTCCAGCCTTGCAGCTGCCATAGGTCCTGCCTGGTTTAACATGGAAGACTGTCTAAGATAGGTTTTGCACCTCCCCACCCCTTTTCATTTACAAGCAAAGGAAAGGATCAGCTAGAGAGATAGTAGGAGAACCAGAAGGAGTGTACCCTGGAAGCCAAGTAAAGAAAGTTTCAGGAAGGAGATAGCAGCGAATTGTGTGCTAGAACTAGAAATATAGCCCTTACAGCACCTGCATTCTAGTGAGAATATCCAGACAACAAACAAACAATAAAATTAAATATTTAGTACATCCGATGGTGATAAATGTTTTGGAGAAAAATAAGGCAGGGTAAGGGAGATAGGGAATGTGGTTGAGGGGTGTTCTATTTTATATAGGATGTCAGGGGAGGCCTCCCTGGTAAGGTGTGTTTGAGCGGAGACCTGAAGGAAGAAGGAAGTCTGAACATGTCATTTCTGGGCAAGACTGTTTTGGGCAAAGGGAATGGCAAGCACAAAGGTCCTAAGCTTGTTTGGCATATCCAGGAAAGAGCAGTAAGGCTTGTGTGGCTGGAGTAAAGCCAGTGAGGAAGCCAGTGGTAGACAATGAGGTCAGAGAGGTAGTGGGAGACTAGATCATGCAGGGCTTGTAGACTATCATAAGGACGTTGGCCATGTTTGCTGTTGTTTTGAGAGTAAGACTCAAGGCAGGGAGACCAGTGAGGAGGCCAGTGAAATAACTCAGATGAGAGCTGATGTTGGTTTCCAGCCAGACTGATAACAGTGGAGGATTTGAGAAGTAGTTAACCACAAAATCAAAGCTGTTGCCATCGAGTCTATTCTGACTCATAGTGACCATATAGGACAGAGTAGAACTGCCCCATAGGGTTTCCAAGGCTGTAAATCTTTACAGAAGCAAACTGCCACATCTTTCTCCCACAGAGCGGCTGGTGGGTTCAAACCACCGCTGACCTCTCAGTTCACAGCTGAGCACTTAAGCGCTGCGTCATCAAGGTTCCTTTGAGAAGTGGTTAGTTTCCAGATATATTTGGAAAGTAGACCTACCAGTATTTGTTGATGGATTGAGTCTAAACTATGAAAGAAGGAGTCTAAGATGTCTCTCAACTTTTTGGCCTGAGTAATCGGGAAAATAGAGCTGTGATTTACTCAGATGTGGAAGACTGTGGACAGAGCAATTTGGGGACAGATGGCATGAAGATCAGGAGTTTGAAATGCCTATTAGACATCCAAGTAGTTGGGTTAAATTTTCAGTTGGGTATACAAATGTGGAGTTCAGGAGTGAGCCAGAGAGGACTTGAGCTATACATTTGGGAGTTGTTAGCCTCTAAATGGTATTTAAATGGGACTGGATGAAATCATCTTTGTAGCTCCTGAAGAGAACTGAGGATTGAGCCCTGGGGCACTCCAAC